TTCATGTGATCATGATCAAACACCTCGACTGCCTCGTCATTACAACAGTGAGCTACATACATTTCATTTATTATGAGGTCTGGCATAAAATTCTGAGAAGATGCCCTTCTAATAAGGATCCTCTGTTAAGAGATCATTATTTCTATCATAAAGCTATTATTCCCAGAATTTCCAGGCAAAAAAACCCAACAAATTGGAACATGTATTTAATTTATGTATGCACAGTAGTTCTTTGACAGAGATAAGGGCAACCTTGCCTGGAAAATGAGGGTTAATGGGTTTTAATTTTTAATTTATTGAAGAGATAGGCGTGTAAAATAAAATTGCTTATATAATATCAGAGCAATAGGTACATCATTATTATTCACAACTGAACTCTACTTCCTTGCTTTAAAAGAAAAGCTGACTTCAAAGATTTGAAACTAAAGTTACATACACCTACTGGTCACAACTCTGGAAAAAAATTAGCATATTTTACGTACCTTTGCAGCACGTCTCAAAAGCATTGAGCTAAGTGTGAAAGCTTAGAAAAGAACATTCCCACTCAGGAGGAAGAACTTTTTGGACAGGTTGTTTAATACTGAGCCTTTCAATTGTTTTCAATACTTTCTTAAACAAAACTGAATGATAATTGAAATCAAATAGATTTCAATGAATTTATATTATACGCATGATTTAATCAAGGGTTTTATCCTAGGCAATTAATAGTGAGATTGATACCAAACAATCAAAGAAAATAACACTAGCTCTATTCAGGTATTACAAAACCTAAAATGCTCAATGTGTAAGCAATAGTAAGAAGTCCTGCTCCCTATAATATTGTGCATGTGTTATTGTTTAAAGATAAGTATCTGCATGCACAGCCTAGATGTTTGCACTGAGGTCTCTATAAAACCATCTGTGAATTGATTGACCAATCAATTTGAAACTCATGAGAGTCAATGTTTGTGCAACTGTAAGCATAAAGGTCTCCACAGTCCTATATAAGCATTCAAGATATAGGGAAAAACCATTCCTTAAATGATATACAAGAAGATCTCAATATATGATTGTAATTGAGCATGGAATTATGATAGTTAAGTTATACTGGCTTTTAAAATGGACCTTTTTTGCCAGAAATTGGAAGCAAATGTTGGTTTCCGTCAAAAAACTCATAAACTGTGATGATGAGAACAAAGGGTGCAGTATATGTAGGCTGGTTGCCAAGTGTTTAAAATGCATTCACATGATCAGGCATCACAACTTGAAATCTGGGTCTTAAGAAACTTTTGGGAGATTCATTGTAATTTAGAATGGTTGCTAAGCAACTTGTCATTAAGTGAACACTACCTCTAATGATATGATGATTTGGCCAGAGGTGAGCACTTTTTTTTGCAGAAACTCCATTTAAATGACATCTGTATTTTCACTATTAATATAAGCTTTAAACAACATTAATGTTCCAGAGCATCAGAGAACTGAGGCAGCTATTATTGTAATTGGAACACACGGAGATACTAATATTAGTGTTTATTATATCATTAGGCTCACTATTCTTTCATACTTGTTTATAATTATTTTATTTTTGCATTGTATTATTATATTTCCTTGTTTGTTAAGCCCCTTAGAATTAAACTGAAGTGGCAAAAAGTCTTCATTAAAAAACCAATATTGAATTTTTATCTCTATAATTAATTATCTATAATGTAGAAAACTGCAGTACCTCAAACTGACCCAATGAAGTAGGACTATGTACCGTACAGTATCCTAATATTAAAAAATTAAAATGTTTTAGTCCCATGTATGAAAAAAGACAAAGGTTTCTCAAATATTGTAAGCATGCTTCTTTCTCCCTGCTGATCCCTAACCATATTTTCTATTCATTTTTCTATGCTTTTTAATTTCATAAACTATATGGTAGATACTCCTAGAATTAAATCTGCATCTCTAAATATTATAAATTACCTAGTGGTTGTTGTTTTGCCTTCCATTTTATGACTGTCCCAAATTTTAACTGTTCCATCATTTGAGCATGTAGCAAAAATTGAATGTTCATCAGAGACTCTAATACGATTCACTGCAGACTTGTGTTCATGCAGATGAGCAACCAGAAGCCCTTTGGGATGCCAACCTAAAGGCAAAGTAAAATGTATTTTTCATTTATTCAACAAAAGCATGAAGGATTCTTGCTTGCTTGCTTGCTTTTCCCCAATGTCATGCAGGCATTATAAAATACAAAACTAGGTAGATAACATAAAATGCAAATATTAGTAAGCACACACATAGCTAGCTGTGTATTACTTAATCCTTTCTCTCTGACACTGAAACTTATTAGGCAGAGAATCACCAACTCATATAGTTCTTATAAGCAAATATTGAAATAATACAGTGGAATTATTGATAATGTCACAAGACAAACCAATTTCCTTCTCTTTTCCCTTTCCCCATTCCATTTAATCTGAATATGGCAATACAGTTGTTGCCAAAAATTGTGGAAACCTTTTGGAAAAATGTATTTTTGAGGTTTGATGGCTAATAACACCATTTTTTGGAGTACCATAAAATTATATATCAATGGAAAGATAATTTAATCAAGACTGTAATGCAATAACTTTTATGAAGGATTTGCTATTAGAATAGCAGTTATAAAGAAGTAAAACTCATAGAAAAAATGAGATATATGACTGAGGGCAGAGCTGGCGGCGCAGTGGTTGGATGGGCGATCTTGATCCTCCAAGATCACCGTCGATATCTCAGCTGCTGGTTGGTCCCAACGGACCTAAATCGTCCCGTAGAGACGGTGATTGACAAGGGCACATCCTGTTGATCCCAGGGAAGTCGCAAAGTCCCTGGTTGATCCAGGGAAAGCTCTTTTTGCTGGTGGCGGAGAGGCAGCCTTCCAAGCTGCTGAAGCTGGGACAGCTCCGGAATGGAAGAGATTGGAAGAAAGTGTGTCAGTTTGGTGAGATGAACTTTTACTTATTATTTCTTGGAGAGAACACCCTGCAAAAATTAAAGTGGACTAACAGTGAAAAGAGTTTAAGTGGCGTGATTAATTGTTAAAGTGAAAGCTTTTTTTCTTTTCCCCCCTTTTTATTGGAATTTTGAACTTGGCAAAGCTGTTTAACTTTAAGCTGGACTGGTACTTGTTAATCTTTTTATTTCTGTTTGTATTTCTTTCTCCTTTTTTTAACAATCCTTTCGAAAATTCTTTTTTGATTAACACTCTTCTGCTTGATTTAAGATTTTTTTCCCTTTAAAAAAGGGGGGGAAATATTTTACTTTTTTTTCTTTTAGTTCCTGGCTGTAGATTGAGGAGGGGGAAGTGAAAGTGAAGGAAAGTAAGTAGCGCTGCCACCCAGAGGCTTGGATACATTGTTTCTTTTTTCTTTCACTAGTTTGTGTTACAATCAAGGACTCTGAGCTGTGTATTGGAAAAGATAGAGATAAGTATGGCAGTTTGTTTATTCAGGTGCTCATTTGTGAACAGATAGCTGGAGTTGAAGTTGAAAGAAAGAAGATTGAAGTGACCTTGAAAAACTGATTTATCAAAGAGTCTTGGATATTTGGCGGCAGAGGCTTGTTTTATATGAGAATTGCTTTTTACCTTTTGCCTCCCTTTCTACCCCTCCCCGCAGTTGGGCTTTTTTTTTCTCTTTAATTGGATTTGGACTTTTTAAACCAGGAACCAGAATGTAAATCTTTTTTTTTTTTTTTATTAAGAGGAACATATAGAATATTTCTCTTTCTCTTTTTCTCTTTTTTATCGTTGATTTTTTTACTTTTTACATTTACCATTGTAACTAATTGGATTAAGTATACAAGTGCCAGAAGACTTTCTTTTTCCTTTTTTCCTTTGGAGTGGCAACTGTTTGCCTTTGTCTTTTTTTTCTTCCTTTTTTTCCTTTTTCCTCTTTTTTTCTTTTTTCTCTCTCTTTCTTTACAGATAAGCATTATAAGATGAGTAGAAAGACAACAGTTCCAGCTTCTTCGATACCAATCCCCTCACCATCTGGAGGACAACAATCTATACAGACAATATTACAACAGGAAAAAGAGAAAGAGAAGGAAGTGACATTACAGATGATTATGCAAGGAATCCAGAAGATTGAGCAAAAAATTGAAAAGACAGATGAGAAAGTGGAAATATTTAACAGATGATGATGAAATATGAAGACAGATTTTAAAAAATTGAAGATATACAAAGAGATAAGAAAATTGGAAAAATTGATATTCGACTGAGCAATGTAGAGAAGGGCAGATGTGAACCATTAGGATGGGAGATAGATAAATCAGAATTTTATCTAAGATTTCAAAATATAGAAGAAGGAAAAGCTGAAAACCTTACTGAAATAATGGCAGAAATATTGGCAGAAGCACTGGAAATAACCAAAGAAAAGATGATGGATGGGATGAATGAAGTGTTTCGTGTCAATACAAGATATGCCACAAGGTATAGACTACCAAGAGAAGTTCACATTAGATTTACTAAGAAGATTATTATTATCTACAGAAAGCGAACCTACCTCAGATACCTAAAAATATTGAAACCATGTTAGAAGGAAATATAACAATGATGGAATTAACAGAAGCCTTAAAAAACAGAATGTTGGGAAAGCACCAGGTCCAGAGGGTTTGCCAGCGGAATTTTACAAGACATTTCAGGAAATATTGAATCTTCATCTGTTAGAAGTTATGAATGAAGCTATGTTGAAGAAAAGAATACCAAAAACATGGTCAGAAGCATACATTACACTTATACTGAAGGAAGGTACAGACCTGCAGCAAGTTAAAAATTATACCTATATATTATTACCTATATCTCTATTGAACTCAAGACTATAAAATATTTGCTTCAATTTTGGCAGAAAGACTAAAAAGATACTTAAATAATTTTATTCGTACTGATCAAAATGAATTTCTGCCAAAGAGACAAATCAAAGACAATGTGAGAATTATTTTGGATACTCTGGAATGATGCACATCTTGAAAAGCAAATGGCCTTGGTGTTTCTAGATGCACAAAAAGTCTTTGACAATGTGAGTTGGCAATTTATTTTACTGCAATTGATACAAATGGACTTTGGTAAAAAATTTATCCAAGCCATTAAAACAATATACCATGAACAAGCTGCAAAGGTGATGGTGAATGGAGAATTAACAGAATCCATAGATTCTGAAAGGGACAAGGCAAGGCTGTCCATTGTCGCCTCTGCTGTTTGTGTTAACATTGGAAGTGTTGAACAGGAATATTAGAGAAGAAAGAGAAATAAAAGGAATGAAAATTAAAAAGGAGGAATATAAATTGCAAGCTTTTGCAGACAATCTGGTATTTATATTAGAAGACCCATTGGAAACAGCACCCAAATAGAAAAAATAGAAGAATATGGAAAAGTAGCAGGTTTGAGAATAAATAAAGACAAAACAAAGATATTAATAAAGAATATGTTAGCAAGATGAAAGAAAGAGTTGGAAGAAAATTTTAAAATACAGGTCACGAACAAGGTTAAATATTTAGGGATACATATTACATCAAGATGTAGTACACTGAAGGAAGATAACTACAGTATGTTAAACTCAAAGAGCAGATTGCGACAGATTTGATAAAATGGGAAAAACTGCAACTATAATTGATTGGGAGATTATCTACAATTAAGATGAATATATTAACTAGAGTTTTATATTTATTCCAGACAATTCCTATTCAACTAGGGAAAGAATTTTTTGAAGATTTAAATAGAATTGTGTTGAAATATATTTGGCAGGGTAAAAAAGCAAGAATAAAAATAAAGCTGTTACAAGATGCAAGAATAAGAGGAGGGTTTTCCTTGCCCAATTGGAAGCTGCATTACCAGGTGACAAGTTTGATGTGGGTAAAGGAATGGATAACACTAAGGAACAGTAGATTATTGACTTTAGAAGGCCATGACTTGCTGTTGGGATGGCATGCCTTTCTCTGGTATAAGGGAACTAAAACAAAGGGGTATTTTAGAAGACATATATAGAGGCATTGTTTTTGAACTGGGAGAACATAAAAAGACAATATTACTTAAAAATTCCAACATGGATATCAACTATTGAAGCTTTTTCTTATCCAATAATATATAAAAAGGAACAAAGTTAGATATGGTGAGATATTGAATGAAAAGGATGAACTTAAATCTATGCAAGCGTTGGAAGAACAAGGTGTAAAAATGAATTTGTTTTCATATTTGCAAATACAATCTAGGTTTGATAAAGACTCTAAAGCAGAAGGTATTTATGATAAGTTGACTGATTTAGATAAAATTTTGATGGGTACTGATGAAAAGGTAATTTAAAAACTTTATGGACATCCATTCGAATTTAAATTGGAGGAGGAACAAGTTAAAGAAACGATGATTGCTTGGGGGGAAAATTTTGGATATGGGATTGATTTAGAAAAATGGCAAAAATTGTGGTCTCAAAATTATAAAATGACAATGTCAACTGCATATAAAGAACATTTGTATAAGATGTTTTACAGGTGGCACCTACCCCCGACGAGACTTGTGAAAATGTTTAAGAATAAATCAGATAAATGCTGGAAATGTCATCAGATACCTGGTTCATATTACCATATGTGGTGGACATGTTTGGACACAAAGAAATATTGGACTAAAATCCACACACGGTTGGAAAAAAGGATAAAACAACATATAGACTTTAAGCCAGAGATCTTTTTATTGGGAGTCATACCGGACATATACAATAAAGAATTGAAATATTTGATTGTAAACGTTTTAACAGCAGCTAGAATTGTATTTGTGAAGACCTGGAAAAATGACAAATACCTATGCAGGAGGAAGTTATTAAAAAAATTATGGACTGTGCTGAAATGAGTAAGCTGACATTTGAAATTAGAGAACAAGAAGACAAGCAACTTTATATAATATGGGATTTGTTTTATAAAAAGACATGGTAAGGTAACAGAATAGATAATTTTGTTATAGAAGTTTAATAGACTGCTACAAAATATAATGTAGACATATATAACCATTGGATGATAGCATAATATAATATTGATGGAATAAATAGCAGGATAATTAGTAATTGATAAATAGATAAGCATATTTTACTTTGACAATGTGAGATTGATATAAATTGTGACCAA